GGGAGGGGGGAGGGGGGTGCAAGAGAGGCTCGGGGAGCGGGGAGGAGGGGGAACGCTAAACACTAAACCCTAAACCCTAAACCCTAAACAACCCTAAACCCTAAACAACCCTAAACCCTAAACCCTAAACCCTACTTGGCTGCCGCGGATGTAGACCTGCTCCAGGGAAAGGACCTTGCCGTCCTTGTGGGTCACCGTCACGCCCTGGATGAGCATGTTCATATTGTCTTCTGCATTTTCGAGAGTGCCTCGGTAGAGCGAGCCTGCGAACAAACCCTAAACCCTAAACCCTAAACCCTAAACCCTAAACCCTGAGGCGGGGCCGGGGATCTGGAGAAAGGCACGGCGAAAAGGCGGAAAGAAGAAAAAGTGGAAAAGGGGAATTTGAAAAGCGCGGAAGTTCGGGTGTACGTACCGGTCTTGGTTTCCACAGTGATGGTGTGGCCGAGCCCCTCGTGGAGGAGTTTGACGGGAATTCCGACGGAAGCAACTTTCGCCATTGCTTTAATTTGCAAAAAGAAGCAATAATTTGAAAAGCGCGGAAGTTCGGGTGTACGTACCGGTCTTGGTTTCCACAGTGATGGTGTGGCCGAGCCCCTCGTGGAGGAGTTTGACGGGAATTCCGACGGAAGCAACTTTCGCCATTGCTTTAATTTGCAAAAAGAAGCAAATAAACGAAAAGAAAACGAAAAAAGAAAGAAAATGAGGGGTTACAAGCTGGGGTTTCGCCGGCCCGCGTGCATGCAGCGCCGCTGAGGTGTACGTACACCCGGGAACCTCGCGCCTCCGCAGACAAATCCGCAGTTCTTTCGCTCACTTTTCCCGAAGTTGAGAAATAAATAAACAAATAAATAAATAAATGAACAAAAGAAGTCCTTTTTCCGCTTCGCGCCGCCAGATCCACTGTACATACACCCCAACGCCCCGCCTCGGGGCTGCCGGCGGCTGCCTCTCCTGGGGCCCCCTTTCACTTCTTTCTTTTCTTTCTTTTCTTTCTTTTTGCAAAATGAATTTCAATTAATAATTCCTTTAGATTGTTTAAATGTTGCCACATTTTGTGGCTTTTGGAGGTCTGGATTAGTCGGGATCAGCGACACGCCGTAAACCCTAAACCCTAGACCCTAAACCCTAGCAACTGCCGCCTGCTTCCAGCGAGCACAAGGCCCTAGTCTTCACCCAAACCCTAATTTAGGGCTTCACACCCTAGGGTGCGGTCGTAAAACCCCAATTTAGGGTTTTAGGTTCCCTTTCAGGCCCTCCTCAATGGAGGAATGCAGAACCCCAGCAGCCAGATGGACTGCAGCAGCAGCAGCAACAGTAGCAGCAGCAGCAACAGTAGCAGCAGCAGCAACAATAGCAGCAGCAACAACAGTAGCAGCAGCAGCAACGGCAGCAGCAGCAGCAACCGTAGCATCGGCAGCAGCGACGCGCCAAAAGCCATAGAATAGCCAACGAACATATGCTTAAAGCCAGCAGCTGCAGCAGCAGCAGCTGCAGCAGCAGCAGTTGCTGCTGCAGCAGCAGCAGCTGCTGCAGCAGCAGCAGCTGCTGCAGCAGCAGCAACTGCAGCAGCAGCTGCTGCTGGACAATTCATTGAAAACTATTTCTTTCAGTGCACTGCCGCAGCAACACAGAAAGGAGACCTCCAATAGATACCCTGGGCCTCAAGGGGCCCCCAGGGGCCCCTTGAGGCCCCTTGAGGCCCCTGGGGGCCCCTTGAGGCCCCTGGGGGCCCCTTGAGGCCCCTGGGGGCCCCTTGAGGCCCCTGGGGGCCCCTTGAGGCCCCCGGGGGCCCCTTGAGGCCCCTGGGGGCCCCTTGAGGCCCCTGGGGGCCCCCTTGAGCCCCTAGAGCCTGCTAGGGGCCCCCAGGGGGGCCCCTGGGGGCCCCTGAAGGGCCCCTGGGGGCCCTTCAGGGGCCCCCTGGGGCCCCTTGGGGACCGCCTTTGGGCCCCACAGGGGCCCCCAACCCTATGGGGGCCCCTTTAAACAGGTACCTTTTGGTCTAGGGGGGCCCCCAAGGGGGCCCCCCAAGTAGGCGGGGCCCCCAAGGGGCCCCCAAAGGCCCCTTCAGGGGCCCCTTCTAAAACCCTTTTAGGGGACACGAGAGAACCCCCACAGGCTGGGGGGCCCCCATTTGTAGGGGGCCCCCCAACTTAGGTTTGGGGGCCCCCCGGACTAGGTGGGGGGCCCCCCATGTGTAGTCTGGGGGCCCCCCTTTGTAGGTTAGGGGCCCCACATTGTTGGATGGGGGCCCCCACAATAGGTTGGGGGCCCCCATTTTAAGTAGGGGGCCCCCATATCAGTAGGGGGCCCCAGTGGGGGGCCCCCACTTAAGGAGGGGGCCCCCATATCAGTAGGGGGCCCCCATCCGAGTAGGGGGCCCCCATATAAGTAGGGGGCCCCCATTTGAGTAGGGGGCCCCCACATAAGTGGGGGGCCCCCTACTAATGTGGGGGCCCCTATATAAAGTGGGGGCCCCCATACAAGTAGGGGGCCCCCACATAAGTGGGGGGCCCCCATATAAGTAGGGGGGCCCCCATATAAGTAGGGGGCCCCCCATATAAGTGGGGGGCCCCCCATATAAGTGGGGGGCCCCCCATATAAGTGGGGGGCCCCCCATATAAGTAGGGGGCCCCTCTCAGATGCCCTTTGGGGCCCTTGGGTTGGAGCCAAGTGCTGCTGCTGTGTCGAAGACAGAATTCTTAATGGCATTTGCTGCTGCGCGGGTGGCCCTTAAGGTTATGTCCCTGCTGCTGCTGCTGCTGCTGCTGCTGCTGCTGCTGCTGCTGCTGCTGCTGCTGGGGAAGAGGAGACAGACGGCAGACACGCGGAGACAGGCTACAGAGAAGGACACAACTTTGCCTGCTCTGCTGCCGCTCTTGCTGCTGCTGCTGTTGCTGCTGCTGCTGCTGCTGCTGCTCCGCTGCAGCACCAGGGGCCCAAACCGCAGCAGCAGCAGCGCCTCCTTCCGCCGCCCCCTCCCCTTGCTGCTGCTGCTGCTGCTGCTGCTGCTGCTGCTGCTGCTGCTGCTGAGCCTACTGCGGCTGTGTCATTGTTCTCAGTTGCTGCTGCTGCAGTTGGTGCTGCTGCTGCCGCATCTGCTGCCGCATTTGCTACTAATTTTTCTGCGTCTGCTGCTGCATCTGCTGCTGCTGCTGCATCTGCTGCTGCTGCATCTGCTGCTGCTGCATCTGCTGCTGCTGCATCTGCTGCTGCTGCTTCCAGGGGCCTTGAGAAAGGGCCCGCGTGGGCCATGGGGCCCGAGCCGCTGCTGCGTCTCTTTCAAAGCAGCAGCGGCAGCAGCAGCAGCAGCAGCAGCAAGCGATGTTGCCTTTGTCGTTGCTATTGCTGCTGCTGCTGCTGCTGCTGCTGCTGCTGCAGCCAATGTTGCTGCTGCAGCAAACCGGGGGACTCGGGAGGCGCAAGCGGCTCAGTGCTGCAGCAGCTGCTGCTGCTTCAGCAGTTTCTGCTGTTTCTTTTGTTATTTCCACTGCTGGAGCTGCTGCAGCAGTTGCTGCTGCTGCAGCTGCTGCTGCAGCAGTTGGTGTTGCTGCAGCTGCTGCTGCAGCAGTTGGTGTTGCTGCAGCTGCTGCAGCAGCAGCTGTTGTCGCTGCAGCTGCTGCTAAAAGCAGCCCTAAACAAGAGCAAACCTTTATTGAACGTTAAGAAACAAGCAGCAGCAGCAGCAGCAGCAGCAGCAGCAGCAGCAAGCGCTCGTGTGAGTTTG